GGCTACTAAAAACAAATGTATGGATTCTAGATGTGTTCAGGATGTGTATATTCAGTTTGTAAACTCTGAGCTAGATGATATAAGAGTCTACATCGAAACTAGGGATTAGAAACTGGGGAAACTCCATTCTACAGTAACTACACTGAAGGAGAAACTAAAGCAATCCAGAGTATAGAATGTGAATGTGGGAGAAGACTTTTAACACTGTTTCATATAAATTAGCTATACACATTGAAAGACTCTATACATGGTGAAGAGATTTGGCATCATGATACAATTTTCAGCTGTTGGTTTTAAAAAATGAAATAGTTGAAAAGCTACTTGGTTTAAGTTGAAAGTATAAAGCTATTTATTTAGGAAAATCTGCATTAAGTGCTAATTAGAAACTCTTAAGAGAAAACAAGGAATACATACAAAAATATGAATTGCTGATGGAGATTTTCAAGAAGAAATCCTAGTACAGTGACTTTAATGAATTACATAAAGTTCATTGCTAATTAACAGCATTCATTTACATGGAAACAGTGAACTAAGTTGTTTAAACAACAATTTATTCCCTTAAGTACATTTAAGATGTATTATCTTGTTGTTTTTTTCAATTTTCTTGGATAAAATATCATAGATCATATACAGGTAAATTCTTCCTATAGAGATGTTAAATAAATAATAACCACTGATCAAACAGGCAGCCTTACACTATAAGGCCTATTGAATATGTCAAGTCTAACTTTCAAATTCTATGTACTCTGAAAGAGATCATTGCAAAATTAGCATATAAACATTATTTATCCTGAGACTGCCTGAAAAGGTCAATATTCCTTTAAGAGGGCTACTGCTCATCTGCCAGGTTCTGCATATGCTTTGCTCTAAAGAAAATGAGTAGTGAATGGAAGATGGTTAATTCCAAACAAGAGCCAGGATAACTCCAAAGAGTTTGGGACTTCAAGCAAGTGGGCAGAAGTAGCTTCCACTAATTACTAACAAAAGATTAATTCATTAGAACATTGAGTAAAATGATAAAAGAATCTGTGAGTCACAAATGTATCATCCAAGGCAGAAAAGATAAATATTTATGAAAGCAGAATAAAATAATGGTTTAACATAGTATCTGGTCAAAATAGGAAGCCTGATATTTTATAAGTCTTAATGTAATAGATGGCTAAGGAGGGATCCAAAATGGAATGCTAATATATGACTTACTATATATAAATATATAGTATTATATATTATATTGTAATATATATAATATATATTAATATATATTAATATATAATATATAATATATAATTATATAGTATTATATATTATATATTATATATTATATATTATATATAACAATTTCCAATAGTTAATAGTTATCACTTTAATGAAGTGATGACACAATTTCATATTATGCATCCTGAAAAATGTTACCGTATATAGTATGCAGTATCCTATGAGACTTATATTTGCAAAGCAAGGAAACACTCAAAATTTAATTTGGGTCATTTAATGACTTGCCTAGACCCAACTTGCAGTTTACAAGAAAGTTAGAAAATATGGCACCAATTAAGTGGCACACCAAGGGAATAAACAGACAGATCCAGAACTTTTTAAATGCTACTGATGGATAATTTTTTGAATGTCAGTATCATTGCAGAGAAAGTGAGGTGAATGGTGCTTTTTGACTTAAATGTAAGAAAGTGATAAAATAATAAAATAAAGTGCATAAACTAAATTGGATATTATTATAAAATTTAGGACATTTTAACTTAATGTAGACATTCTAATAGTGACTGTATGTAAAGTGATTTGACATTTTAAATTTTTCTTATGAGTTAGAAACACATGGATCTATATGGCATGCCTATAATCTAAGTTGAGACGTGCTGAGTAATAGTAGTATTTAAATTTCTTTGAAGACAAAATGCATATTAACTTAAGTCCTTCATTAGATAAGACAAAGCAATATACTAGCAACTTGGTTAAATTCATGATTCCTAACACTAACTTAATACTACAAAATACACCAGAAATCCAAATACATTGAAAAAGTTGTAAAACTCTAACAAAATTTTGTGATACAATATGTGTCCTTATTATGAATATATAAATGTTAAGATATTTATGTAGATGTGATCAATATTGATTTTGAGGGAAATAAAATAGATTAAATAATGTCTCATGTTTTTGAGCATAGAAGAGAAAGTATAGCTTATAATGAAATCCCAATTAGATATTTTCGAACAACTAGAAAACAGAAGCTTTAAGCCTCTAAAGATAGTGCAATATTTACAAGTTACCCTTTGTTCAATATGTATTATATACATGTAATCAAGTATCACACTGCACACTCTAAATATGTATAATTACTAAATGTCAATCCAAAATTTTACAGTGTTTAAGGAGCTAGAAATGTTAATTACTCTAATTTTAAGCATATAAACTATGTATGATTACCAAATTATCATACTATACTACATACATTTTGAAGCTAAACTAATAGAAAGAAAAAATAAAGATAATCATGTAAAATATCTTAAGATAGAGTAACTTTTATGGCATGAAAATATCTATGAATTTGCATTACAAATGTTACTGTTTCTTTGTCCATTTTTGATGCTCAGTACTATTTTGACATCAGTGATTAAAAAAAAGAGCTATGTTTATCTATTCAAGACTGTGGCATCTCTTGAATTATTTTCACAGAACAGAATTTTTTTAAAAAGTGTTCTCATTAAGACTTTCTTTGTTTTACCTTATAACTTCCTTTCAGAGCAAACACATTTTAATTTGCATCTTGTTGTTTATAAAGATTATTTGGTGTCTACTATCATCTGTAAATCTATAGATACTACCAGGCTCCTCTGCTGCATGACTGAAGAATCAGGAAAATTTCCATGGTAAATTGTATCATGAATAATAGATTATATTTTGAATTTCATTTTAAGTTAATAGATGTTAACCAGTATTTAAATATTTCAGAGCGTTTTCCTCTAATTATTTCAGATATGTTGTGTTATCAAAGAGAAGAGTCTAAAATTATATAGCTGTAAGTCTTCAAATAATTTGTAGATTATGCTTGAAATTACTTCAAATGAATGTTCATTATTTCTGATTTAAAGATCACTACAAGTAAAATATTCTGTTATTTTATTACATAGGCATGTTCCTTTGCTCTTTTGTTATAAATAACTTCTGTTTCCTATTCTATTGGTATTGTACTGAAAATAGTTTATTGATTAACAATAGCTTCATGATTACAGTCCTTTTCAAATTCATGTTAACATGTTATTGTTGAAATATTAGTTTACTTACACTTTTGCTACTGCACATTTTGAAATAGTGAATGAATTGGAAGGATCTACCTGTCACTTATATTTTGAAACATATTTACCTTTCACAAAATTTAACTTACATAACAATTTCAAGGAACTCTGCCACAAAACTGACCATGAAAACATTTGTTTTGAAAATATGTAATATGAAATGGACAGCTATAAAAGCCAAATTTTTAAAAACTTAGGGAACCTGATCTTGACTTCTTAAAAGCACAAATGTAAATATCTACTGTATGTCAAAATTTTCAATGAAGTGTAGCTTTTCTAATCAATTCTACCCTGAGCTGTGATTATCCCACAATTTTGATATTTTACAACAGAGTCAGTAAGAGTATTTCCATAAAATTAGGTGAATATAAAATTTCAGAGCTTTTTGGTGAACATATATAGTGCTCCAATAATTATTTATGAACTATAACTTCAACGATAACCTAAAACATAGAAGATTTTAACCACTCAGGTTAACACCAGAAAAATAGGAATATGTTTTGTTCAAGCACTATATATTTAAGTATTTATAACAGAATTATTAATCTACTAATTTCTTACAATCTTATTTTTTACTACATTGAGCCCACATCAGAAGTGACACTATTATACAACTTTAAAACTGTTTGCACACCAATATATGAGTTTATTTAATTTATAAAATGCTTGTATGATTAATACCATGATTTCAATCAGAAAAAAAAACGAGTAGAACTTCTCAAGGAATTTATTTACAAAAATTTGGGGTCTTTATCTCAACATAATAAAAACATTTTAAAATCAAGATTAATGTAAAGATGTATTTACATAATATTATTTTCTCCAACTCAATGATATCATTTTTAACATTGACAAGTTTTGTGTGCATACATAATGTATACAAGAAAACTCAAATATCTGTATTATTACATATGTCTGTATATTATGCAGATCATATGTAGGATGTAGTGACTCAGCCATAGACCTGAGTTTTCACCATTTATCATAACAGTCTTATTTTTAAATAAAGGTTATGTCCTTCTTTAGCAATAAGCAGCACTAGCATCTATAATTGGCAGCATAATTCCAAATCTAATGTATAAGGTTCTGTGCACTCCAATTCCAAGAGCATACATTGGCTTTCAGTGTTTCAATACATTCTAAGGGAAAGTTAAATGGTGATTGAATACAACAACATTTTTGGATACCTTGGTTTTCATTTTCCTTTTAAATTTGAACATTTTTGAAATAAGTAACTTTTCAAGAATCCAATAGAAACTATATTTGAACTAAAATTAAATAATACAATCATTTTTACAGTAAAATTCTAATGTATTGCAATTAAAATCTTATCAACCACGTATCTTTCCTACAAAACACTCATTTATAATTGCCTTTTCTCATTTTTTGGAGAAAATATACTTGAGGTTCAGCTTGATAAATTTGGGATACACTGAAGATACATACATTAGGCAATCCTATGATATGTTTTTATCACAAACTTGGAAGCTTACAACAACAGATAAGTGCTAGAGAACAAAATGTGTGCACTTAATATCTAAGAAAAAGACCAGAAAATGTCTTTGTTGCTATTGATTAACATGATGGACTTCTTAACATTAGTACCTGTCACCCATCTTATGATCTTTTATGAAATGAAAGCTTTTTGAAAGGACAGTTTACATAGCTCTGCTAAAACATCTGTCTCCCTACCTCTTTTGCCTTTCAGCCAGCTGTTTGCAGATCTCCTGACACCGCAGACTCAAGCTTCCTAGTTTTTCCTGTAGAATATTGGCATCTGTTTTTGAAGACTGTTGAATTATTTCTTCGCCAGTTGTATTCAGTATTTTGACAACAGTTTGCCGCTGCCCAATGCCATCCTGGAGTTCCTGTAAGTCACCAAAAAGATAAAGCAAAATTGAAATCCCAAGTCTTTTTATTTGGAAAACAGTTTAAACAACATTCTCCCATGTACAGTTATACCAAGAGAGGAAAGAAGTAGAAAACCTCACAGTGAAAGCTGCTCTATGCACTTGATGTTCCCACATCCAAAGGATACAAGCCAGAAAGACACCTTTCATGTCAGTATAAAAGCTTCCTCTCAGTTCAGCTCGAGGTTTTGTTTTGTAAGCTTGTCAGCTAGAGGATGTTATCATGTCCTACAAATCAATTAGCTGGAAATCTTCTCAAGAGCAAATTTGATTTCTTGTCCCTACAAGGATGTTCTATGTTTAATAGTCTATGAACTGTTGTAAAATTAAACATGGACCAAGTATTTGGATATCTTAGTTGGTTGTTAATACAAAGGTGAAAAAGGACAAACATACTTTAGCTATAGCATTTTTAAAAACCTTCTAGAGCTTTAAAAATAAATGTAACTATTATATTAAAGCCATTTATTTCAAATTCTGTTTGCACCAATCTATTTTGCATTATAAAACCACATAAAACTGAAAATTAACTGCTTTCAGGGGCAACCCATCAAAAAACCTCTAATGTACAGTAATAAATATGAAAATAATCTATAGCTACCAGAACAGTTTTATGAGTCATTGGTGGTGTCAAGCTTTCGCATATTCTACTTTTTATCCTAGATGAAAATTTAAGAGTGACTCTCAGAAAATTGTTCCATTAAGAAAGAAATTATTACAACCAAGTTTGCATAAAATAAGAATGATTTTTTACCATTAAAATTACAAATCACAATCCTTTGCTGTAAACCTATTTAAAATGTAGATTTTTTAACGAAAATAACATTGCTAACTGTAATACAATGTAAGACCTTGAGATACTTTCATATTAAAATATAAATGGCTCTCAAATTCTTGTGTTACTGGCAATACACTAACAGTACACAGATTATTTTTGCTCATACATATGATTCAAATGATTTAATATTCATATATCCTTTACTTGTAATATATCCTTTACATGCAATACCAGCTTCCCAATAGACGTTTATATGTATCTACCAAGCCAATCAATTAAATATGATTTTTAAATCTTAGTTATCTCTCTATAAGTACTTCATTCTTCATCAGTCTCAAACTATTTTATTACTCTCACTTTTTACAATTTTATTTATATTTTATATGCTTGCATAAGTTTATTTGCACCATATAAGTGGACATGTCTGAGGATGCTAGAAGTGTGCATCAGATTTCCTAAGAATAGAAGCTGGATCTTCTGCAAGAGCAATAAGAGATCTTAACCACTGAGCCACCTCTTTGGCTCCTACTCTTACCTGTTTAACTATAATGACTTTGGTAGCATATTTTTGCAATCAAATAACCTCAAAAAATAAGCAAAATAATAACAAGATCTTCAATTGATTGTCATATTACAGCACTATAAAAAAGAAAGCATGCCTTCTTCAACTTTTACAAACTCTCTTAACCATACTCCTGACTGTCCATGATATATGATCTAGTAAACATATGTTCCCATCCAACTAGCTGACCTGACCCATTGGTTACGTTTTACTCTTTTAAAGCTGCTTAGATCACCACTTCAGGTAATTGCAATGATTGCTTGGTAACAAGATAACAGTCTTACCAAACTGTGTCTATATTCTTATTACTCAGAATCTGGTAAGAAGAAGTTTCAGGCAGTATCTTTTCAGTGAATGAATAAAACTGAATTAATGAAAAAGGATACAAGAATGGAAAGAATATAGAAAGACAAGAAGAGTAAAAGTAATGAAAGGAAGGTAGTCCAATAAAACATACCACTATGGAATCATTGGAATGCTTAAAGTATCATAAAAGAAAGTATAATTTACTAGGTTTTAGGTAGTATATAATCTAATTGAAGAGATTAGACACAGTTGTGAGTTGCAATTTCTTATATACAATAGGGCAGAGACATCGAGGTTCTTAATATATGATAAATTATATGAGGGATAAGATAAGCAGTAGAAAGCATACAAAAGGATTCTAAAGGAGTTTGGGAATTGATAAATGGTTACCATTTAGACACATGGAAGTTCAAGGAGAGCAAGAGGATGTCAAAATGCATGACACTTTGTGGACAATATTCATTATAAGGATTATAGAGTTGAGTTTTATGTTGCTGTTATGAGAGTGTGAGTGTAAACAGATTTGTAATCATGGGTATATATTGTGGATAGACAGAGCATACCTTATTTTATTAGGGAATTTGTAATTCGTGGAAAGTCCATTGAAGCAACTCAATTTCTAGCTACATGTGGTGGTACTCTTCTGTAATCTCAGCACCTGACACTTTGGGGGTGAGGGTATTACGGATCAGAATGTTTAAATTTATCCTTAACTGCATAGTAATTTAAAGGCAGTCTAAGCTACATGATACCTTGATTAAAAATAAAAATTAAAAAGGAAGGAAGGAAGAAATGAGAGGGAGAGAGACAGAGGCAGAGAGACTCTTCTACTTTGAAAAAATCCATAAGTACCAAGCCTTTTGGGCTACTGATTTATTCTTAAGAAAGGAGGGACTAATGTTGATGCAGGCTATGTAGCCAAGTCTAGGCATCCAGGAAATAAATTGTGGAAGATAAGCTATAAATTTGACAAAGAGTCAGGAAAGAAAGTCCTGGAAGTAATATGAAATATTAAATAAAATTGCCAGGGTTTGAAAGCAACTAGAATCATGCAAGCATGTGTGAGGCTCCTGAAGGGAAACACTTTACCTAAAAGAGTAAGCATGGGTGCAGTTAGAAGGGGATTAGATTTCATGTTTATACTATCATAAGGTGTTCAACATTACTTATAGTGTTAAAACTCATAGTTTTAAAAATTCCCAGGGCACACAATAAACACACAAGAACCTTCTGAACTCATTAATATTAGATGGCTCAGAATTGTAGAAGAGGACCTGAATTTGAGAGATATTGTGGGGTGAAAAAGGAGATGGAGGGAGAGAAATGAATACATATTGCATAATACAACATACTTGTATTACCAAAATAAATATATTTATGAATTAATTATCAAAATGAATTTTAAAATAATAAAAAGGAACTCCTGGAGATCTAGTTAAATTGAAAACTCAGATTCACTGTCTCCAAGAAGAGGGTAATAGTGCTATGACAGGCAAAACTTTCTATAGTAAGGTTGCAAAGTAAATGCCATGCAACTTCTGTATGCAAGGAATTTTTACTGCTGGTTACAATGATGAAACCACTTTGGATTTCTTACGTCAAACCCTTCCTTTGGTATTTTTGATCTTAGCTCTTTATCTCCCAGCTGATGTCTATGGTGATTTTTACAGCTCAATTGTAGAACCAAAAAGGATTTTATTATTTCCATATTGCAGATAAGAGATAGAATTGTGTAGCCAATAATGCAGTAATTGCTTAAAATTGTTTTTTCTAAATCTCATTTATACAGAATCCTAAATCAAAGCTTTTAGGTTTTTTTTAACTTTGCAAAGAAGACCTCATTAAATACTGTATTGAATTTGTTTGAGAAGATTTTGTAGCCAGAAGAAATATTTACAGTGTGTGTTTTACTTAAAAAGAATTTTCAGTAATAAAGCATAAGAGAAAAATAATGGATCAAACAGGAAATAAAAATTGGGTATGCTGTTTCATGCTTAGCTTATGAGGCACAAAAAGATAGCATTCAATTCATAATATTAAACATAAAGTCTCAATCAACTTCATTTGCACAATTAATTTTAATTCTACAGTGTATACACATTTTAAGCACCAAATTACTCATTAGCAATGAACCTTTTAAGCTTTGATATCATATTAATATACTGTTGTCATCAGCAATATCCTTATCTACTTTTCTAGCAATTAGCATTTAGTTTTTAGTATTGGAGAAAATGAAAATCATAATTAAATCTATTGGATTTTTCAATCTAGTTAGCAAGCTTTTGTGATGTGATTCCAACATCGAAACATTCATTCTTAATAAGGAGCGCATATCAAACTCCCCCAGGGAGCTTTTTCAAAACACAAAAGCCCACATTTCTATGCCAACAAACTAGAAGCATAATCTCAGTGCCTATGAGTACAGTGAAGGAAGGTATTTAAAACAGATATAACTTGAAACAAAGGTTCATTAATAAAACTGCATTAAAGATAAATGGAGTGGCCAGGGAAGAAGAAGGGTTATGTCTGTCTGATAACAACTGCATCACTATTAGTTCCCTTTTGAATCAAAAAGGTAACTGGAAATATAGAAAATGACACTGTTACATGTGTTATTTTAAGTATGGTTAAAATGGGGGAGGAAACAAGAAATACAATGGAAGTAAATGCTAATTGTTTAGAGATAGAAGAATATGAAATAGAGAAACCATACCTTTAAGGTGACCCATGGAATACATTTTAGAAAAGACTACTTATGAAATGGTCCAAAGTGTATGAAAATACAATTAGTGGAAAATAAAGTGTGACAAATACAGAAAAGGAATGCACCAAACAAGTAAAACCCAATCACAGGAAAATGTACAATGCAATTTTACATGAACTATGTTGAAATAAAATAAATTGCAAACTTCAAATGAAGGAATAAAATTGGTAAGCAGGAGAAACAAAGTATGACTTGGGGGATAAAGATGAAGACTGATGGAATCAAACAAAGATAAACAAATCTTCAGGGAGTTAATATATAAGTCTGCATTCCTGTCAACAGGTTTTCATTCATTGCACTCTTGATTATTTTGAGGCTGACTAATCATTGACTTAGTTTACTAATTGACCAAATAAAATATGTAACACATGAGCCAATAAATAGTTGTCCAAAAGGCAGGTTAATTTTGTAGTAGTGTTTCACAACTTATGCTGCTTTGTCTCTTTTCTTCTGTGCTGGTTAAAATTATTCTGACTGGTTTTCCTTGTTAGTCCCTAGAATACACATATTTGGAAAAATAGTCTGGGATCTGATCTCAGAGATGAAGGAAATAAATTTGTCTCCTGCCTTTATTACTGAAGTCTATAGTCA